CAATAAATGGTAAATAACAAATGAAATGATGGACAAATTGTAATGCAGCTGAAATATAGAAGAAGCAAATGTGCATTGTCCAAAAGTTGATTACTCCATTAGATTCCATAGTATTTTTATATTTTGAATTGTCACCTGCCACCTTAATTTTGTTCCCCTTCATATAAATAAAGACATTTCCATAAATTGGTACAGAAAATGCCTCAAGAATGCAGGAAAGTCAGTATTTAATACACAAAGTCGTTAATGTTATGTAATGTTATTTACTAGTTTCATGTTACGGGTTAGGATAGAAGTGGGGGGGGGCAGGGTTCTGGCACCTATTTTTGTCAACTTCAAGCACTGATCAAGAATAGGTTAAGGGAACTGAAAACGAGGCTCTTTAGCACAAGGTGAATTCTAAATACCTTTTGTATTGTAACAAAGTCCAACCCTGTTTCCAGAAAAAGTTGGCATGCTGTCCATCCATCCATCGTCAACCGCTTAGCCTGTGTACAGGTCGTTGGAGGCTGGAGCCAATCCCAGCTTACATCAGGTGAAAGGTAGGATACACCATGGACAGGTCGCCAGTCCATCCCACACACATGTACAAACAACCACTTACACTCATACTTACACCTAAGGACAATTTTAGAGACACCAATTAACCTAGCCTGCATGTCTTTGGATGGTGGGAGGAAGACTGAGCATTGGCATGCTGTATAAAATGTAACCAGAAACAAAATGTAATCATGTGCAAAATATTGATACCCCTATATAATTGAAAATAGCAGAGTCAACTTATCAAATGTTGAAACTGAGACATGTTATTGTTTAGGAAAAGTATATGCCTATTTCAAAATTTTCTGCCAGCAACACTTTTCAGAGAAGTTGGGACAGGCTCATGTTTACCACTACGTTACATCACCTTGTCTTTTAACAGCACTCTGTAAGCATCTTTGAACTGAGGAGACCAACTGCTGTAACGTTGAAAGTGTAATGTTTTCCATTCTTGCCCAATCTAGGATTTCAGCTGCTCCACAGTTCGGGGTCTCCTTGCTGTATTTTATATTTCATAATGCGCCAAACATTTTCAATGTGTGACAAGTCGGGATTGCAGGCAGGCCAGTTTGGCACCCGGACTCTTTTACTACGGAACCATGCTGTTGTTAATTCGTTTAGAATGTGGTTTGGCATTGTCCTGCTGAAATAAGCATGGCTGTCCCTAAAAAAGACAGCTTCTACTTGGCAGTATATAATGCTCCAACATCTGTATATATCGTTAGCATTAATGGAGCCTTCATAAATGTGCAGGTTACCCGTGCCATGTGCACTAATGCATCCCCATACCATCACAGATGCTGCCTTTTACACTGGGCACTTATAATGAATTGGATGGCCCTCTCCTCTTAAGTCCAGAGTATGCGAGGTCCATGAATTCATATGTGGACTTGTTAGACCACATGCCAGTTTTCCACTTCGCCTTAGTCCATCTTAAATGAGCTTGGGCCCACAAAAGGCAGCAGCATTTCTGGTTTATATACAGTTTCCTCTTTGCATGGTAGAGTTCCAGCTTCCCTGTCTGGTTTTGATGCAGTGCTGTCTTAGAGCCTAAAGCCCACGGCTATCCAATAGCCTATTGGTTTTCAGCCTTATCCCTTGAGCACAGAGATTTCTTCTGTTTCTCTTAATTACTGTAGACAATGAAATGTCCAGATACATTATTCTTAAATGATGGAATGCTGGAATGTTCTTTTTACACCCAATCATGTTAGAAACCGGTTTCCAGATAACCTCATTAATTGTGAGATGTTCCACCAGGTCTATGTTTGTAGCTTGTAACTTTTCCAGTCTTTTATTGTCCTTGTCCCAACTTTTTTGAAAGGTGTTGCTGGCATCAAATCCAAAATGGGATTAATTTTTTCAAAAAACAATAACATTTTCAAGCTTCAATATTTATTAAGTTGTATTTGTGCTATGTTCAATTAAATATGGGGTATCAATGTTTTGCACAGGCTGGAAACAGGCAGGCAGGCAGGCAGGCAGGCAGGCAAGACAAGACAAACAGCAACCACAACACACTACAATGACCAGACAGAGACTGAACAGAAACAATAACATATATACACAGGGTTAATGAGCAGGGCGGGGGCAACACAGGTGACAGAGATGAGTCTAACAAGACACAGTCAGGCAGAGAGAGCAGGGGAAAACAGACATTAACTGGTTGCAAAACACAAGGCAAGAATCTAATTGGAACTCAAAACACAGAACACAAGCAGACAGATCACAAATAACCAACAGGGAAACAGAGTGGACTGGGATCAGACAAAAACACAGAGCAGATCGCCATCACGCAGGCAATGGAAAAAAACTAACTAACTAACACCGGCAATACTGAACCCAAAACTAAAGACAAAGCTGAAACCTAAGACAGACTAAATAACAGATACAGAAAAGACTAAAATACCAAAACTAACAATAAACTTAACAAAGCAGGCAGGCACACAGTGTGACATTTTCATGTCATTTGAGCACCTGCAGAGACATGTTACTGTTATCTCCAACTAAGATCCTTGCTGAGAGCTAATTTGGGTCCTGAAATGACTCCTGCCTGTCATGAATGTTGTTGAAAGATTTCTTTATGATGGGAACACACATAAATTTATTTCCAAAATGTATCGCCTGTTGTTGAGTGAGGGACCAAAACCAGGCGAGCATAAGTCTAGATGAAATGGGAGTCAGATCTCAATGTTACAATTGATGAACAGTTTGACAGAATTATGTCAAAACTGCTTGTCAACTATTATCAATGCCTGGTACAGATTGATTAACTATAATATTCTACATCAATTATAAAAAAATTTATAAAACTTACACTCAATTCAATTCAGAGATGTGCTTCAGGTGTGAAACTGAAGTTGGTTCCTTTTTGCACTGTACCTGGCTGTGTATGAAAGTTAGGCCTTTTTGGCATGATATCAGCTCCACTCTAACCAGGATCACAGGAGTTAATGTTCCTGCGGACCCTGAACTTTTTTTTATTGGGAAACTTTACAATTATTCGTAGTTCTCTAAACAATGCACAACTGCATGCATTGCAAGTTGTCCATTGTTTCATTTGTTATTTAACATTTATTGTTGCTGTTGTTCAGAACATTTTTAACAAAAGCTTTCAAAAAGTGATGGAGACATTCTGATTCTGACCTGTCAGTATTTTTAATATTCCCACCCTATCCAGGCTGTGATTGGTCGGTTCACGACAAGTGACATTGACAAGCTACATTCAGCACACGGCCACTTGAAAGGCACCAAGCTTCTCTTCTCCCTCGTCTCTCTCCGCCGACGGAGTTTAGCAGGCAGGCAGGCGAGAACGGGAACAGGTGAGCGTCACATAGCGCCCAGAGAACCTGATATGGAGAGGGCAAAGGACAGTACCGGCAGCTTGGAAGAAGTCGTGGTACACAAATAAATGTCCCAGTACGCCAAAGAGTAAAATGTCGTGGTGCCGGTGGTGCGTACCGCCCCACTTCAAGCACTTCTATGTGTGACTAAGAAGTGCATTGCAGTGTCATGGAAATTTGGCTCCCTTCTTGACAGGTGGTCTGTTGAGATGAATAGTTGTTTTCCCCTGGGAAAAAATCACTTATTGTCTCAGGAAACGATATAATACCTTTGAAAATTTGACATCTATTACTCCAAGTACTTAATGAAGTCGTTTGTATTGACCTTGTACACTGAATTTTTTTTTTGTGGGGAGGGACCGTAAGGTAAGGTTTGTTATGTCAGTATACTTTTGGTATACTGACATGTTTGTATGCATTATTTATATAAAACTGAAAATAAAATATTTCAAACAAACACTGACATCTGTACACCAACCTTCGTTTATGTAGAGACAGAGTCCCCTTGTCTTTCCCGTGAGCTCAGATCCGCGATCCGCATGGAAGGGATTAAATCCCGGTAGGTGAAGTGCACTGAAGTGCGGATGTGCTCGGTGAGCCAGGACTCTGTGAAACAGAGGGCGGCAGATCTACAAGAAGTCCAAGTTAGTTCTGTTGATTTGCAGCAGTTCATCCATTTTGTTTGCCAGAGAGTGGACATTTGCCAGGTGAATCGAATGGAGCACAGTACAAAAACCCTGCTGTCTCAGTTTAACCATTGCGCCAGCACGCTTTCCCCTTCGACGTCTGTGGTAGATCCCAAACAGAGCTGCCGCTCCTCCAACTAATAACTCTGGGAAAGTTCCAGGTTTAATAAGGAGTGGTGGAATAGTGTGAACAGTTAAAAGTCCAATGTTTGAGAGGTCTTCTCTGGTAAATGTTACCAGAGAGGGACGGCAGAAAACAGATTTAATAAAAATAAAAATATTTAAAAAATAAAAACACAAAAAGCACTACGGAGCGTAATCCATCCGCGGTGGATTTGAGTTACTGTTGCCTGCCTGTCATCTCGAATCAGTCTGCCCATTCTCCTCTGACCTCTGACATCAACAAGGCATTTTCATCCCCACAACTGCCACTCACTGGATATTTTCTCTTCAGACCATTCTCTGTAAACCCTAGAGATGGCTGTGCATGAAAATCCCAGTAGATCAGTTTCTGAAATACTCAGACCAGCTCGTCTGGCACCAACAACCATGTCACATTCAATGTCACTTAAATGCCCTTTCTTCCCCATTCTGATGCTCGGTTTGAACTTCAGCAAGTTGATACAGGTGTACCTAATAAAGTGGCTGTTGAGTGTATATATATGTGTGTGTGTGTGTATACTGGAAAACACTGGATTATGTACAGTAGAACTTCAACTGCAAATCACCCTCAGTGTGTTTTTTTTTCCAGGTTAAAATATAACATCACAGACAACTATGAGACTTTTTTGTTTGTGTGGTTTTGGTTATGCAAATATGATCACTCAAATTGGCACAGCTAGCAGCGATAATAGGCTACTACTAGTGGTATAGGAATTGATAGTGAAAATACCAGACATCTAAAAAAAATCTTTTCTTTTTTAATCCTAAGGAGTATTTTGAGTTTCCTCCTTCTGGCCCTAAGATTTCAGACAAGGCTTGTTTCTTCATTACTGGGCTCATCTGTGAGAGGGAAATCCGTCTGGGTAGGAAAGGCTCCAGTGACTTCAAGAGCCATCCATTCTTCTATGGACTAGATTGGAGTTCCCTGCATAAACTCCCTGCCCCTTTCCTGCCTGAAGTATCTAATCCAACTGACACTGCCAACTTTGACATCCTGGACGACTGTCGCAGTGAAATGGTATTGTCTTGACTTGAGAATGTTACTTACCATGTCACGCACTTATGCTGGAATCTAGGTTGTGTCTGAAAGAAAATTACATACTTACACATACTGTTAGCGACTTGGTTAACCATTCACACTTTTCTATGAGGAATGCGAGAAACCTAAGTATTGCGTTGCGCCATCTTATCTGCAGCCCTACAGATACAAATTATGCATTTATTGTTGTCTTTATGACATAAGTTCTCTAGAAAGGACCACACCATAAACAAGATATATTTTGGCTGCTTTGTGGGGAAGCTTTGGCAGGGGGTCCGCCATAGCACCAGGCACAGTCGACTCCCTCAGGACCCTACGAAGAGTAGGGAAGAGAGGAAGAAATAGGAGAAAGAAAAGGGGTGGGGGAAAGAGTGCACAATACAAGAGCAAAAGAGGAAGAGAGGGTTAGGAGTGCGTGAGTGCGTGTACATACTTACATACACTGCAAAAACTGAAATCTTAGTAAGATTACTTATCTTAATTGAAGGCAAAGATATTTCTTCTAACCAGGCAGCTTTCATGTTAGAGAATTTCACCTGTTTCAAGTTTTTTTGGCCTTAAGTAGCAAATGAAATGTTCTTGTTCTGTTGGCAGATAATTTTGCTTATTTAAATATTTCCCCCATTTTAATGCTGGTTTTTGAGAGCTCAGTTTTTGCAGTGTACATGACTGTCTAAAGTGGCAACATTGAGGTATACAATTCCAATACGGAACGGTAAGGCAAATTCCTTCGTTTTTGTTGTTCACTGAAGTTTTTTGGGTTTAAGATCAAAAGATGAGTATGAGACAAAAGTTCAGAATTTCAGCTTTTATTTCCTGGTATTCACATCTAGATGTGTTAACTTAGGACATATAGTATTTATATTAGACCACAGCATTCTGAGGTGAGCAAAAGTAATGGAATAAATCATCTTAAAGTAAATAACATTTAATATTTGGTGGCATAACCCTTGCTTGCAATAACTGCCTCAAGCCTGCGACCCATCGACATCACCAAATGGTTGCATTCTTCATTTGTGATGCTACTCCAGGCTTTTACCGCAGCTTCTTTCAGTTCTTGTTTGTTTCGGGGTGTTTCTCCCTTCAGTCTCCTCTTAAGGAGGTGAAATGCAGCTCTGTTGGGTTAAGGTCAGCTGATTGACTTGGTCAGTCTAAAACCTTCCACTTTTTCCTCTGATGAAGTCCTTTGTTTTGTTGGCAGTGTGCTTTGGCTCATTGTCCTGCTGCATGATAAACTTCCTCCCCATTAGTTTCAATGCAGACAAAATGTTTCTGTCCACTTCTGAATTCATTCTGCTGCTACCATCAACAGTTCCATCATCAATAAATATTAATGAGCCTGTTCCAGAAGCAGCCATGCACGCCCAAGCCATGACATTACCTCCACCATGCTTCACAGCTTGTTTGCTTCGGATCATAAGCACTTCCTTTCTTTCTCCACACTTTGGCCTTTCCATCACTTTGCTAGAGATTAATCTTGGTCTCATCAGTCCATAAGATTGTGTTCCAGAACTTTTGCTGCTCAATTTCAATCTGGCCTTCCGATTCTTGCTGCTGATGAGTGGTTTGCATCTTGTGGTGTGGCCTCTATATTTCTGTTCTCTGAGTCTTCTTCCAACAGCGGATTGTGATACCTTCACCCCTGCACTGTGGAGGTCGTTGCTGATGTCACTTACTTATGTTTTGGGGGTTTTCTTCACAGCTCTCACCATATTTCTGTCATCACCTACTGTTGTTTTCCTTGTCCGACCTGTTGGACGTCTGTTGCTCAGTACACCAGTAGTTTCTTTCTTTTTCAGGACATTCCACATTGTTGTGCTTGCTATGCCCAATGTTTGTCCAATGGCTCTGGTCGATTTTCCTTCTTTTCTCAGCTTGACAATATTTTTCTCCCATAGACAGCTCTCTGGTCTTCATGTTGGTTTATCCTCTTTAACAGGAAATGCAGTCTTTATAGGTTTGAATCAAGGATGAAAACTTAGATTAGTCATGCAGAGCTATTTAATGTTTGGACAATCAACCTAAAAGGCAACACCTGGGCAACAAGAAACATCTGGCAGTCACATGTTCCAGTAGTTCAAACAAAGGGTGGTTTGACCTGAGTTATTTAACACATCTAGATGTGAATACCAGGAAATGTGAGCTGAAATTCTGAACTCTTGTCTCATCCTCATCTTTTGATCTTAAACCCAAATGTCTTAAGTGAAAAACAAAAACAAAGGAATTTGCCTTACCGTTCCATTACTTTTAGAGGGGACTCTAGTCCTGCTTCTGAAACTTTGCTGATAGCCTCAGTTTACTAGCAAAGACCACACTATGAACAAGATATGTTTAAATGATTTATAAACAAAAACAAAAAAATAGGAGCAAAGCTTGGACTCTACAGCTCGGTCTAAAGCTTTGGTGGGAAATGTGCTGTAGCACTTGGGCACAACGGACCCCCAAAACCTTCAGCGACTTGAGGCAAGATTGAGCACATCTGAGATCTTTAAGATCTGAACGAATGTGGCAATGATACCCTTGGGAGGACCAATGGTCCATGACATGAAGTGCTCTGGGATACTATTGCGGGAGGCCCAGGTGGCAGCTACGTTTCAGAAGAAGTGACCAGCGTAATGGACGGGAGAAATGCCAGACAAGGACTGTGCGTGGCAGAAGTGCTGGTGAAACCAGAATCGAGTAGACGCTTGTCTGGACTCAGATGAATAAATTGCAAGTAGGATCTTTAAAGTATTCAACGGGGACTGGACTTTAAAGTAAAAGAAGGGTGTACGCAATTGATTTTGGTTCACTTTTTTCATTTATTTAAAACCTGTCCCACCCAACAGCCTGGTATACAGTATGAGGAGCTGGATACCATGTTGTGCCAGACAGATTTTGCTTTAGCAAGAGTGTTTTAATATACTCCTTTGTATTCTTTATTATTTATTTAATTATGTATTTATTTGTCACCGGGCCGGACAGGGGGGCAGAAATGGGGATGGGGGGCACAAATATCAAACAAACAGACACCACAGAGACAGGACAGCACATGCAAGAGAACACGGATGGAGACTACATCTATGTCTCCATCACTGCCCACATGAGGTCAGACTAGAAAGGCGCTATACAAATACGGAGCATTTACATTACATTTAGACCTCATGTGGGCAATGATGGAGAAACCAGGAGGAGAGTGATGGGAGGAACAGCCTGCCTGATCTTAACAAGAGTGGGGTTTTGTTATTGGACTTACTGGACAAAAACGAACACCATGTCCGAGCATAAGGTTGGTCATAAGTGTACTTAAGAACACCTTAGACCAAAGATCGATGATTGACTTTGTGGTCAAATCTAAGGCCGTAAGGGAGGTTGGGGACATGGAATCCGAGAGAAAGCCGGGCCTGAGTTAGGTGGTGCTCAGCTTGGGGGGAGAACTGCTGACCTGGACGGGGGATATTGTCGAGCACTGGAAAGACCATTTTGAAAATCTTGAAGACTCAGGGAAGCCTCAGCCATATGCCTGGCAGAGGTTGCTGAGGCAGTCAAAAAGATTCTTGGTGGCAAGGCACTGGTTGTAGATGAGATTCACCCTGAGATGCTAAAGGCTTTGGACATTGTTGGGCTGTCTTGGCATCGTCAACGTCGCATGGAGGTTGGGGACAGTACCTATGAAGTGACAGACTAGGGTGCTGGTTCCCATTTTCAAAAAGGGTATGCTTCAACTATTGGGGTATCATACTGCTCAGCCTCCCTGGGGAATTTTATTCTAGGATGCTGGATGCATCATCTTCGATGCATAGCACTGGTTCTGGATCCAAGTCTCTGTTGGGGAGGTCATGGGAGTTTGACCATCTAATCTACCTAAACTTTGAACTAGAGAAGGCTTATGACCATGTCCCCAGGGGAATCCTGTGGGGGTACTGCTGGAGTATGGGGTACCGGGGCCATTGCTATGAGCCATCCAGTCCTTGTATAACCAAAGTGGAGCTGTGAGGATGTAGGAAGCTCAGAGGAGAGATGCTTCTTCATACTGAATGTAGCCAGCTGTGGTAGTTCGGGCATCTGACAAGGATGCCTCCTGGACACCTTCCTTTCGAGATTTTCCAGGCATGCCCAACTGGGAGGAGATCCCAGATCCCCACTGAGTGTGCTTGAGGTGATGATGATGTTGGGTTAGGAGTGTATTTCTATAAAAATCATAAGTGGCCCGATTAAGGTGTGGTCCTGCTTCTGAAACTCTGCTGATAGCTTCAATTAACAGAGCTGAGATGTGAGCTAATGTTACGACCCAGTTCGTGTAGGAAAAGGGAAGCAACATAAACCAGAATGTTTTTGGTAAAAAGGCAAGTTATTTATTTGCAGGGTTTTTACAAAAGAACAGAAAACTGGCTGGCAGGCGCTGCTTAAAGCAATGAACAAAATATAACAGATAGAGATCTCTTCAAAACAAGAGATTAACTACAGACTACTCTGAAAACAAAGTAAAACAAAAACTCTCTGTCTTGTTCAACAATAACCAAACACAAGGTGAGCAGCACCCTCTAAGCCTAATGTCTCTAAACATAAAGTTAAACTACACGTGTCTTGTTGTCATCAGTGATTACCACTAAGGGCCTTACCCAGTTTCATACACAAACTCAGTTTAAGGCAACACAGGGAACCCTACATTAACACAGGCTAATACTGGTAGTTTTCAACTACTTCAAACAGTATCTAACTCCACCACAAGGTTACTACATAAAATATCACATTCACTAGGATATGGCAAAACACAAACAAGGCGAACTACAGGGGGATGGTCTTGATGGTGGTAGAGGATTGGAGGAGATAGCCAGACGCCGCTCCAATTATATCACCGGCCGGAATCAGGAAGTAGTCAGGTCTCTCAGCCAATCCTCTGCAACGAATCGCAAATCCTGCGGCACAACACAGATACACAATACATAGATAACAGCAGTGGCCGTAACAGCAAAGAACCTGAAAAAAATCATATTGTGGCTCCATGTGAAAATGACACAGCTTAACAAAATAACACCAGCTGGTGGTTGTTGGTATCTGTTGTGTTCTGCAGGAGACGCTGTCTGATGTAATGGACAGAGCTCCAATAGGAGTACACTTGGCTTTTGTTGGATACTCTTACACCACTACAAGGTGAACTTACATTCATGATTCAAGTTGTATGTGCATCAAACAACTCTAACTGGGATATTCCTGGCATATTGTTTAATTGGTCTCTTTTTTATAGTCAGATGGGTGCCATTGACCGCAGTCAAGACATCTTGATGCAAATTGACCACACAAGGCTCAATGACTGTGAGAGTCTTTACACACCGGAGAAACTGGTGAGACATAATCACCCTGAAGAATGTACAGTTACTTATAACCGAATTAGCAACATTTATAAGACAGCTTTGTATTTTCAGGTATTGATTACAAATATGTGTTTTTTCATTGTTATGCTGGGCCTGATATATCCATGGTTTGAATTCAGAGCCAGCTGTGGCAGCTTACAGACACTGTACCAGATAACCTGCCTACATTGCTGGAGCTACCGCTCACTCTGGATCAGGGTCCTACTGGAACCACCCACACCTCAACTGAGAATGAAACTGACCAAATATCAGGACTCAATGAAGACTTGCAGAGGTATCAATTCACACTAATACCATTTTTAACCACTGTTCTCATCTCAGGGCGTCCAATACCAACGTTTTCAGCAAAAGTGACAAAGCGTAGTTATTTGACGCTAAAGGTACCCTTTGTGTTGCTGCAACGTAGCAAACGGTGGTGTTTGATACGGACACTGAAGGGTACCTTTAGCGTCAAATAATTATGCTTTGTCATGCTGTCTGAAAGCGTTGGTAATGATGCACTGAGATGAGAGCGCATTGTTTTAATCAATCCATATTCTTCATTTGGTGGGATGACCCATACTCATTTTTAATCAATATCTCTCATATTTCAGTAGACTTTGTGTTTCTTTGGATGACAAGCCTTAATATGCTTTTATATAGATTTTATATATTTATATTGTTTGTATTGGGCCCTCTTCGAGATAATATTGCACACGTCATTTCCTTCATCGAGTCTTCCCACTACAGACATTTTCTTTCTCACAACAAGGTTTATTGCTCCAAAGTGCAAGTCAATATGAGAATCAGAATCAGAATGAGGTTTATTGCCAGGTACATTTTCACATATGAGGAATTTGCCTTGGTATATTGGTATAAATAAAGTAAAGAGACCAAAAATGTACATAAGTAGTATAGTATATTCAATTCAATTTTATTTATATAGCTCAGAGCACTTTTCATGAAAGAGCAGTGGCCTGTACTATGAAGCGAGGTAACTGGCTTATTGAGATAACTTCAGGAGTAACTTTGTGATGTCGGGTGTAACTTCCCGGTTAACCCGTACTACGAAAGGTGGATAGGTGTTACCCAAGGTCTGTTGCCATGGTAATTTACGCCGCATCTCTAAACTGCTTCGAGCAGGTTTTGTTCATGGTTAACTCGAGGTTACCCTGCACGTGGACTACACACCACATCTGTACTCAGTGTTAATCTCTTCATAAAATGTTTAGATTTCATCCTGATTTGTTCCACTGCGGTTGCAATGAAGTTCTGAACACAGCAACATCACAGACAGCAAGCCCTGCAGCCTCTGTGATTTTAGAGGGGAATCTTAATTAACGGGATAGTTTCTTAGATGTAGCCCCTCTGTAGTCTATAATTGAATTCTCCAAAGTGTTTTCACATATTTAGATAGATTATTTTAGGCCCCTACGTGTCCAAAATATAGGGAGCCAGGGATGGGGTTAATAACGAGAAAAGAAAAAAAAAACTCCTACATGAAAGCGTGAAATTTACAAGAAGAAAAATCAGAAATTCCCTGAAATTAATGTCATAAAAAAAATCGAAAATCACTCTGTTTTCTTCTGAATACGCCCAATCCAAGGCAAAGTCTCTAAATTGCATAGTAGTTAAACTCAGGAGTATTTCCTCACTGCTAAATCTGATTGCAAAGTTTAGGATAACTTTCCAGTGCATGTGTGTGTGATGTTGCAGCCTCTCATAAGTGTGTGACTGTAATGTCACAGAATATTCAAGTTTTTTACTTGTAGATTAATCTTGGAAATTAAATTCTGTCTCGGATTATTAGCCTACCCCTCTCCGCTGGCTCCTTTTTTTCTATTACAATGGACTTTATGTGCAGTTGTACAACCACCACCAATGTGTAGCACCCACCTGGGTGATGCACGGCAGCCATTTAGCGCCAGAACGCTCACCACACATCAGCTTGAGGCAGATAATAATTGTCGGCATTAATTAATTAATGCGTTGATAACGAGTTAACAACGTTCTCAACCTTTTTTGGGCCAGCGCCCCCCTATTCATTATCCAGGTCCCTTACCACCCCACATCAAAAAAGATGTTTTCTATTTGCCCTGAATATTGTTGATTTTTTTTATTGTTACTATTGTTATTAAAAACATGGAAAAGGTAACAGCACTGTAAAATCCGATTAGTTAACCTTACTCAAAAAAAGCATGCAAACTGATTGCACTTAAAAAACTAAGTATAGTGGAACAGGTATTGCGTGTTGTATTAACAAATCCTTGTTTAGTCTAGTAAACTTACTCTTGAGTTTAAGTAACTAAAACAAATGTGTGCGGTGTACTTGACAATTTACTTTAGATGTACTCCTGACTGTAGTATGGACTACTCAGGATTACTATTTCAAACAACTAAGTAGTGCCATGGGAACTTTACTTTATGTGTACTCTAAACACAATTATTTAAGTTGGGCTAACTAATGTGACAATTCCTGCAACTTAGAATTTCTTGTTTTTAGTTACTTGAAGAGCGATTCTGATTTACTTGTTAAAACCAAGCAAACCGATTGCCTTGAAAAGACCAAGTAACTGTTATTTGTGTAAATTAAGTACTTCAAACGTTCTTTTTTTTTTTTCATTTTACCTACTTTCCATTTACAGTAATCAAATGACATTGAGATACAATCTCAAACACCATATGCTCACCTATATGTTCTGCGAACTCACTGTACACTTGTCACACACCAGAGAATAAGTATAAAGTATCATAAAATAGAAATATTTAACACACAACCACATTATAGTTGAAACGTGTTTATTCTTTGAACTTTAACCATTGGTATTTAGTTTCCAATGTTAAAATGAAAGTCTAAATCTGGTATAAAGTATGCATTTACTTGACTTTTATAATTTTATTCTGATTGTATTTTATCATCTTAAAAATTTTGGCACAGTATTTCCAGATTTTGAGTAATATTATTGTTAACTTTTTTTAACTGGATTATTTATAGGAGTATGAATTTCTGAGAAATATACTTGATTTTACGAGTGTATAAGGTACAGAGATGTTTACTTGGAAAACCCAGTCGAATCTGCACCTTAGACAGCTGATAGAAATACTAATTGGTTTCAAGCAGATTAAAATGTAAGTCATTACTATAAGTGATCAGTACCACTTGAAGACAACATTCAGACTAAAATGATCAATGTCAAGGTATTAGCGCCAACCCCAGAATATGTCTTCTCATAGAACCAGAACGCGCACAAACGCTTATTACACTGCCATAAAATATACAAATAAAAACATTCTTCAAATGAGTGAAAGGGTGTGAATAACAGACTCTGTTGGACTAAATGTATGCCTATCTGCACATATACATACCAAAATTGTTCTTCAATAATCTTCCAGTAATAATTGGCTGCCAATGTATTTGGCTGCATAAAAAGACAGACCCTGACCTTTAATTCAACATAATCCTGAACAACTGCATTACTTTTGTAATAACAATAAAGTTCAAAGACCAATCTTGGTAAAGAATCAACGGCTGACAAGTACAAGTGACATCTAGTTAGTGTACAAAAATGACAACAGATCTCACACATGTATGAATGACCATACATATAAACAATATGAAAGGAGTGCCTTAATTTAGTTTACAATTAAAAGCAACTGCATCCACTTTCATAAACAAATGATATTGTATGACAAATGTCAGTCTTGATTTTTACCATTCTAACTCAACAGGAGATTTTTAAGAGTTTGAAGTTTGGGGGGGAGTTTCTCCCAGGCCAAGCATCACTTGTTGAAAGAAGTTGAATGTGTTTTTCATGGCTTTAGGGTAGTCCAAGTGTAGTGCATAGGACAGCCCAAACAAGAGGCAAAGTGCTTGAGGTAGGTTCAGGAGATTGTCCATTACAATACCTCCCTCAAGAATGATAGCAGTAGACACTGGGTCAAGATGGAGATGATTTGGAGAGAGAGGCGCAACCCAACAGATACCTGGGCCCAGGCCTCATTACTGTCAGAATCCTGTATACAACCAAAGAAAAGCAACATTACAACAGGTAAATTTTGATAGGCATTGTCAATTGTCATCAAGTGATCTGTCCTACACCCAGCTTAAGAAACATGAATAAAATTAAGCTCTGATGTCTGTCTTAATGTACAATTTATTCAGATGTTATTGCTGTTACAGCTAGAGTATGTGAGGAAGAGAAATGTTCTACCTCTTGTGCAGAACCCACAATTGCAGCATGGCAAGTGGGCTTAGCATTGTTGCACTCAGCAGTGCAAGACAGTGACATGGACTGCAAAAGGAGTTAGTTGAATGGCTGCTTCATCTTTTGTTTAGGGGATTTTTTTGTGTTGTTTTTTTATCTCAACTGAATCTTAAATTTGCAAAAGCTGTATTTCTCTCATTTCACAGGAGCTAGGCTAGTAGCATCACCCTGCTGGCATACACTGAACTGTCACAGCATGCTGCCCATCTTTGTGATATACAGTATGTGCTCCTTTAAGATGTGAGAACTTACAAAGGAGGTGTTGTAGAAGTTACTGGGGTCATCACCAAGTAGAACAGGGATGCCTTGGAGAACAAGGGTACGCACTGCTGTCACATCTGGTTTCTAGAATTGGATAGAACAAATAAAGTTCAAGATTACGCAACATTCAAAAGTTACAATACAAACCCAGTTTTAAAAGTGTATATGAAAAAGGTGTCACCATTTACGCTTAACAGTGCAGAGAACAGTTGCCGATTGGAGTAGTTATTTGATCTAATCCACAGCAAAAACTTAACAAGTCTGTAGTCGACTGACCCTTGAATCAATTTGCTGCACAATTTCAGCCAGTTTCTCTCCAACACTTCCTTTCTTGGACTTGAAGATTGTGACAAAGCGTGGTGTGTAGCGGTCAACAGCACCAAAAAAGTCATTCTCCAGGTTTGTTGTAGCTATCCTGTTGAACTCAGCAAACACCTACAAGACACGGAAAAAAATTAGAGTGAGTAGACTGGCATGAGCCAGTGTGTAAATTTTGGAAAACCTTTTGTTACCAGTCCTAAAACCTAAATGCACACTTTATCATAGGAAAAACAAAAAAGCATATCAATATCTGTACATACTTGTCTCTCTGTAAAAAGAGCTGGCCAGCGTTCCTTCAGGGTTTTCACTGGAGGTTCAGCCTCCACAATCTCCAGTCTCCGCAGTGGGAAGGTCTGGTCCATCTTAGATGCAATAACAGTTCCACTGATCAATGAACAAGAATGATGCAGAATCCAAATGGAAGGCCATCATCTTCTGGTGTCTTACA